CTTGCACAATTTACCATTTATCTGTCACCTGTATATAATTTTTAATTAATTTATTTATTATAGTAAACAGATATATTTATTTATTAATCGCGGCACAGCACTGTATCGTATTGTATACAATATTTTTAAACTGACTGTCTTCTTCGTCGTGTTTCGATTCGAGATGCACATTCCTGTCGGTGTGTGGAATGAGTTGAGAGTGTGTTGGGTTGAGTTGAGTTGAGTCTTTTCCAGAGGCAGAGTTTTAACACCGACACAGAGACAAGATAGTTTTGTTCGTCGCCGTATATATAGTAGTCCAAGAGCCAGTGAACTATTTGACTAACCTGTTTTCTCGGAGCTAGAATTTTTTTGAATGATATTTCATTATCAAATAGGACTCAATCTGTTTATCTTAATGATCGTGGTTCAGTAATTATCTCAGACAAACAAAATATTAAGCTCGGTGTCCCTCTGGGCTCAACTCTCGGACCATTATTATTTCTCATCTACATAAACGATCTGCCAAAATGTACAGATCTCTGTAAATTTATTCTTTTTGCCGACGACACTTGTGTGATTATAAAAAGCAATTCCTTAGAAGAAGTAAATAAAAAATTAAATCTAGTTATGAAGTCAATTTCGAATTGGTTCAATTCTAATAATCTTTTGCTCAATAATGACAAAACCCAAATTATGTCTTTTCGAACAGTAAATAGGATAAGTCATGAGATCAATTCTTTAACTATCAATAGCATTCAATTTGAATTTTCCTCAGTGTCAAAATTTCAAGGCATCCAATTACAAAAAAACTTAAACTGGGACAATCATATTCATTCCATACTTGTACCTAAGTTAACTAAAACCTGTTTCATGTTGAGAATTCTTAAATCAAAAGTTAGTTTAAATTGCCTTCTTTCAATTTATTATTCAAATTTCTATTCGCATTTTGCTTATGGAATACAATTTTGGGGATTCTCATCATCCTTAAAGGATATATTCAAAATACAGAAAAGAGCATTAAGAATAATTTTTTCCCTCAGTTCCTTATCCTCATGTAGGAATCTTTTCCGACAATATAACATTCTCACTGTTCCCTGTATATTTTTGCTAATTACGCTGTCATTCATAAAGAATAATCCTGAACGCTTCAACCTATCCTCCATGTTGAATTCCTATTATAAAACAAGAAATTTGACTATAAAAGGACCAACTTTTAAACTGGAAACATCTTTTAATACCATAGACGGAAGAGGAGTACAGCTTTTTAATCTACTCCCACTACATATTGGGAAACTGAATGATCGTCAATTTCATAATACTATTGTTAAACTTTTAAAAGCTCAAAGTTTCTTCGATACTTCCGAGTTTGCCAATTTCGATATCAAACATTATTTTGATAATGAAATGCCTACTGTTACTAATTAATACTTTTTTTTGCAACAGTTACAATTTTTTTCCCTTTTCAATACCTTTTCTAATTTTTATTCTAAATTATTTTACTATTTTCCTACTTTAAGTATTTTATCATTACAATTATTTTCATATTGTATATTCTTTTTTGATACTGCTCTTAATTTTTATTTTCCAGATATGAGACTCAAATAAAAATTGCATAACGGATATTTCAAGGATTTTTTTACCATAAGAAGACTCTTAAGATCTACAACAATTAAACTATTTGAATTTTATTACATTTTTTTTCAAACAATATTATTAGTACTGGTTCTGGTTTCTTCAATTTTTAAATGTCTTCCACAAATTTGATTTGAACAATATTCGCAGTACTAAAAGAGAATGACCTTCAAAATGGCGTATAAATTATTCAAATACAAGGGTATTAGTCGATCATGTATGGCAATGCGCCCACACCCTTGCGCGTCGTGACTATTATGTACTCGTCTGGCAGACCCTTGCAATCGTCAGAATGGTCTGTCATTCTACATATGCTTTCTGAACAGTTAAAAGAATACACCCTCAAAATTTAAGCCTTGTGAAAGCAAATTAAAAAAAAAATTTTTTTACATTTTCAAATACTCGAGGGATGATGACGCAATCGCGAGATGCTTGCCAGACCGGCACTTTCTTAATGTACCGATAATGAAATATCATTCAAAAAAATTCTAGCTCCGAGAAAACAGGTCAGTCAAATAGTTCACTGGCTCTCAGACTATAGTAGTCGTCGTGATGATGATGATGCGATATGTTTTTGTTCGGCGTTATGACGCCATGGAGAAGAGGTGAGAGTCAGGAGTAAATTATAACTAGTGGTGCATGGCATTGCTTGAGGCAAATTGCTGGAACTTCCCATACCAAAAATATATTTTTTTAAAAAGATTCAAATTTCTTTTAAAACTGAAAAAAATCAAATTTCGAAATTTTAAAAATTTTTGAGAACTAGTTGGTATTGGCATTTAGCCTTGAGGCAAGTTACATGAACTTCCCGATATGTGTAAAATAATCAATTAAATATAAATGAATTTATGAGCGATTAAAAGTATTCTCCGAGTGGATTTATTGCACATAATTGAAAACGAACGAACACGTTAACTCGGAGTATTTTCTAAAAGCAAATTTTCAAAAATCAACAATTTATACAATTGAATCAGATTCCACAGGACGTTAATGGTTTAGTATGTTCATTAAGACAAAAAACTACCATCGTTATACCAAGTAAATCCTCTAATTGTAATTTTAACCAACGTCAAAAAAAAACTACTCATGTTCTCAAACTTTGATGAATTTTTAAAATTGAACTACCTGTTGTAAGGGCGTAATATTTCAGTAAGTTCTATAAGACCATGATATATATCGCCAAAAAAGTTCCATGAAAATCGGCTTAAATTTTTTTTCAACAGTTAATTACAAGAAAACGGCTCGGTAGATTTTCACCTAAAACTAATCAGTATCATTCCCAACTAATATCTTTCGAACAGTTTTTGATTTTTTAAAATCGATTCGGTACTTTGAGCTTAAATGTGGACGCAAAGTTTAACACTTTTTTTCAAATTACAAAGAAGCGACTCAGCCGGTCGTCGCACAAAACTGAGAAACGATAAACCTCATCGAGATACATCATATGGTTTTTAAATTTCTGAAATCAGTTTAGGCGTTTTTGAGCAAACGTCGATGCAAGTTCTAATTTTGACAAATGCCAATAAGACCATAGTCATTTTTGCAAACTTTGAGGAATTTTTAAAGCTAAACCAATTATCGTAGGGCCGTAATATTTTAGTATGATCTAGAAGACTATGGTATCTACCGTCAAAAAAATAATCATAAAAATCATCGAATTTTTTTTTTGACCTTTATTACAAGAAAACGGCCCGTCCGATCTCTACCAAAAACTAATCAGCACAATTCCCAACCAATATCTTTCGAACGGTTTTTGAATTTTCAAAGTCGATTCAGAATTGCGGGCTAAAACGTAGACGAAATTTTTTTCACTTTTCTGCGATTTATAAAGAAACGGCTTGGCCGATCGTCGCACAAACAATAGTCCTCATCGAGATACATCGAGTGGCTTTTAAATTTTTGAAATCGGTGCAGCCGTTTTCGAGAAAACGTCGATTTACGGCAAAAAATCTGTTCACATACACTTACACACACACACACACATACTTTTTCCAAATTTGGTCTCATTCGATTCAGAATGGCTTGAAACATCGAGAAAACATAAAATTATCAATTCGGATTTTTTGATGAAAACATAAACTTCTCCTTCGGGAAGTTAAAAATCGTCGATTTTTTTTTTTAAACTTCATTACAAGAAAATGGCCCGACCGATCTCTACCAAAAACTAATCAGCACAATTCCCAAACAATATCTTTAAAACGGTTTTTGAATTTTCAAAATGAATTAAGAATTACGGGCTAAAACGTGGACGAAAAATTTTTCACTTTTCTGCGATTTACAAAGAAACGGTTCGGCCATTCGTCGCACAAAACGAATGGCTTTTAAATTTTTGAAATCGGTCCAACCGTTTTTGAGAAAACGTCGATTTACGGCAAAAAATCTGTTCACACGCACACACATACACATACTTTTTCCAAATTTGGTCTCATTCGATTCAGAATGGTTTGAAAAATTAGCGAATCGGATTTTTTGATGAAAACATAAACTTCTCCTTCGGGAAGTTAAAAATGATCTTTCTAAAATATTGGATTTTTTTATACTTTTTGAAATATTTTGGAACTTTTTAACTTCCCACTGATCCGATTTGAATATTTCAAAAAACATTCGATTCGTATATATTCGTATATTGAATAATTGAAATCGGTTAAACCGTGTTTCCGAAATCGTCGAAAATTTATATCCGCACACACACACACAAATACATCAATTTTTTCTAAGATGCGCCCAAATGTTCAGAAACCATTGAAACGTAAAGATATATAACAAATTTCATTTTCGATTTTTTTTGCGATTACTGTAACTTACTCTACGGGAAGTTAATAAAAATTGATCCAAAAAAATTTTAAAAAATCTTAGGTGTGATCAACCCTTACCACTTAGAAGTATAAAAGATGTTTATTAACTTTCTAATTAGTATAATTATCTAACTGAAACAATGTTGTTACTTCAATATATTAATATAATATATTTTATTGACCCTTTGTCTATAAATTAAATTATGCTAAATATCACAACAGCTATTACACTACACATATTAATGTAATATATTAATTTATTGCCAATTGCTATATCTAAATATGAATTGAAATAATTCGTAGGAATGCTAAATTTACAACTTATAGCTACACCGCAAATTTATATAAACACTATTACACTATTACACAGCTCTTTAAGAGAAAGAAAAATAAGTGGAACAGTTTTTAATTTTGTGGGAAAAATATTAAACTGATCAAAGATTTTATTAATTAATTTCAATAAATCTAAATAGTTTCGAATTTGTAAAAAAGATATTAGAAATAGTTATATCAAATAATTGAGGAGATCAAAAATTAATCATATTAATGGATTTTTGTTTCAAGCAATTTTTTTTCTCTTACAGAGCCAGTTATAATTTTCAAAATCATTAAAATTGACAATGTCATTGCTAAATGCTATAATTGGTCAGCTGTTCGCAGAAACACTAAAGTTAAGATTTAATTAACTTTAACTTCTACAGTACTTAATAAGTAGAGCTATATTATTATACCAAATTAAATATTTTGGTTAATTTATGATTTTCGTTTAAGTAGTAACAGCTTTTACTTTTTCATGGACAGCCTTAACGTGTGCAGTACGAGCTCCAGGTTGTGTGAACCTTTTTCCACATACCTTACATTCATAAGGTTTTTCACCAGTATGAACATAATTGTGTTTCTTAAGAACCGAGGAACTCGCAAAGCCTAAAAAAGGTCATGGAGAAATATCTGATTTTTTTTTTTTTCAAAAAATGAATTTTTTTCCTTACCTTTAGAGCAGAGGACGCAAACATAAGGTCGTTCGCCTGTATGAGATCTCATATGCACTATTAAATGAGACGATAACACAAAACCTTTATTGCAGATGTTGCAAAAATGTGGCCTTTCTCCAGTATGAGATCTAAATCAAATTAAAACAAAAAACTTAAAAATGTTCAAACCAATTTTATGAATTTAAAAGTAATACCTCATATGGACTCTCATCTCGCTATTGTTAGGACATTGTTTACCACAAATATTGCATGTTGCTCTCATTTTCGGCTTTTCACCTGTATGTTTGCGATTATGAGCCTGAGAAATAGATTTATTTAAATATGTAATACTTATACAAATATTAGGGTTTGTCGGTTTTCAAAAACCGTTTTTTTGGCAAAAATTATGGAATTCGAAAACCGGTTTTCTAGTGAAAAAAGTCGGTTTTCACTGTATAAATGGAAAATGACAAATGTAGCCAAATATAAAAGATAGATGAAAGCGTTTTGATTCTTCGGTTAAAGATATCGGTTCAATAGCATTTGATATCTGATCAGTTCCCAGAAAGGTTTTGTATATATTAATTTAGAGTTTTATACCAGAATGTATATTAATTTGAAACAATGTGACTTCTTCTTGAAGAAGTAACTTCCTCTACTCAAACTTAAAAAAAAAAGTTTTTAACCCTAGAAGTCATAAATTAAAGAACAAAAAAAAATTAGAATTATTATATCAGGCTTTAAAAACAATTAAGCATAATTTCGTCTCAAGTATGAAAGTATTTTCTATTTCAGAAAATTTTGTGAGAAATCAAAGGACATGTCTAAGTAGCAATTCGATAGACGTTCTCAGTTTTTTCAAATCATATTTTATTAAACAAAAAAAATAATCAGATTTTTTAAAATTAATTAATTATTAATTAATTAAAATTGTTCGAAACAAATACCCGAATTAAGCTTAATTGTTTTTAAAACTAGAATTGGTATTAACAAGTATGTATCAACATGTATCTAATATTTTTTTATTTTTTTTTAATTTAATGCATTTTTTTATTTAAAACTGTATTATTTTTATTTATTCGAAAACTTTCCTTTCACTATCATAAAAATATTTTCATTCTTATAAGTGAAAATGATGCATAAATAACGAATAATTATTTTCAAAGTTATTTAATTAAGATAAACCATTATTTTTTTAGTTTTACTAATTAAAATTAAAATAATTTTATTTACTATCTATAAAATTGAACAATAAATAAATTCAGTCAAATACTGCTTCTGAATTACACGAAATTTGCGGATAAATTACAGAATATTCGAGAAAAAATTTATTTTCTATATAAAATTCGAAAACCGGTTAAAACCGGTTTTTTAGTAAAATTAAAATTCGAAAACCGGTTTTCTGAAATGTCGGATTTTGTATAAACCCTAACAAATATAACGTAATACCATGAAATACGAGTTTAATACAAGCTCGTATCTCGAAGAAGTTTTTTCCATATAAATTCATTAAAGTGCCATTAATTCGTTACATCACTATTGTATTTGTTAGGTTTTTGAAATATAAAAAATAAATTTACAATCTATTAACTTCCCGTGAGATAAGTTATCGTAACCGTTCAAAAATCGAAAATTTTTGCATATCTTTGCGTTTCAGAGGTTTTTGAACATTTTGGAATACCTTAGAAAAAATTGATGTATGTTTGGATACAATTTTTCGTCCACGTTTTCAACAGCACGGATCAACTGATTTGAGTTATTCAAAAAACATTCGATACGTATTGACGGTGAGACTCCAGACGTTTCGGAGATATTAGTTTCAATATAATTTTTATGCAGAAATGAATGTCAGATTTACTAATACTAACTTGTAGTTCTCCGCTACTGGCATGCCCCTTTCCACAAACTGTGCAAATGTAAGGCCTCTCGCCAGTGTGGGTTCTTAAATGAATAGTGAGATTTCCACCTTGGGCAAATCTACAAAATAAATCAATAATTGAAATTACCAAAAATGTCAATTTAAACTAATCCATAAAGACGTAATATATGGAATTTTGCTAAAAATATCTATTATAAGAAAAATCTTTTTTGTTTCACAACCTTTGTTGCGTTTTCAAGCAAAATTCATAAATAAATATAAACAATATATCATAAAAAAAGTATATACAAGTATATTATACTTTACTTTTTATCACAATATGTACAAGCGTAAGGCTTCTCGGCAGTATGCACCCTCATATGAATTTTCAATTGCCAAGGCAATCTAAAATCTGAAATTGACGTTCATAATTTTTAATTATATATTTGATTACGTAAATATGGTTAACTTATATATGATAAATATATTATAGTCATAACATATTTTATTTAACGAGAAATGAGGAGGATAGGGTAAAGAACAAAGCTCCAATTTGAGTTCTAGTAATTATACTGTGAACACCGAAATAACTACAGTACAGCAAATAGCACATATCAAATAAATAACTAAAGAAATAAGTTTAGAGAAGCTTCAATTTAATTCATCATCAGAGATAAAACACCTTATAAAACAAATAAATAACATATAACATATAACTTAAGATTTATATCAAGGTCTCATAAACTAAACAGCAGTGCTCAATAGGGAATGCAATACCGGTTTACCGGTATACCGCTCGATTTTTCGGCGATATTTTTACCGGTATTTACCCCAAAAATACCGGTATTTTCGGTATTTTTACATAAGCGCTATTTGATACATGATACAATAAAATTTAAATTTTTCTGAACAAATTTATCTTTAAATTCCATAATCGCATAAACAGCAGAAGCTTCAAGTGATTCTATAGAAAAAAACAAATGTCAAATATTATATCAACTCGTCATTAAACTGAATATTTATTGCTTTACTAAGGGCTACAAATCGTGTTACTATAAATAGAATAGGACTGATAGAGAATGATGTTTGTTTCATCTTATGTAAAAATGCAACAGTTTTTTAATTTGCTCCAAAATATTTTATATCAAACAGATTACCCCTGCGTAATCTTTATTTTTTTTAACTTTGTACATAATAATTATGACAATTACTAAATATTTTTGCTTCTTATTACAATTATAAAATATTATTTTTTGAAAACGTTTCGAAGTTTGAAAATGCTATAGAAGCATCACATTGTTTTAAATAAGAATACTCAACAATTATAGTAACTTATTATTCATCTCGACTAAGTGTCCGATCTTAAATTAGTGTAGAAAAATTATTTTTTTAAAATATTGGAGATTATGCTAATTTAACACATCGGATACAGACAATACAGTTTATTATAATAATGTAATATGATCTTTTATGAGTTTCTGGTCTTTCTTACTCATAAGTTTGTTTTTGGTGAAAAGTACTCAATATACTCGATAGTGATAATGAATTAATTAAATTGGATATAATTTTGTTAAATTATTATTTAAAAAAATAAAATTATTCTTTTATTTTATTGTTTAGTTGAATATAGTAGTTGTATATACATTTTTTATATTTGTACTAGTAACTTTCAATTTTGTTTACGTTTGTTTAAGATAATAAAAATACCGGTAATTTACCGGTATTCCAGTTTTAAAATGAAAAATTACCGAAATACCGGTATTGAAATTTTCCATCTGTATTGCATTCCCTAGTGCTCAAAACCAAAAAAATACTTTAGCTTTAAAATTGACAATGTGCACCCAGGTACACATCTTTTGCCCTCTACTTTAAAATAGTATAATTAAAAAAATTGAGATAATAGAAGTAGATTCTTTTACCCGCGGTTCGTTAATCCTCGATTTATTCCACTATATATAATTTTTTGTTATTATCTTACCTTTATGGCAAACTTCGCATATATTAGTTTTCTCGCTAAGATGTATCTTTTTATGTATTTCCAATTGTCCAGTTTGAGCAAAACATTTCCCACATTCGTTGCAACTGAATGGCTTCTCACCTGTATGAGTACGCATATGGATTCTGAGAACATTGCTTTCGTAAAATCTGTACAAAAAAATTAATCACTTTATATTTCTTACATATGATTAAAGATATATTAAATTACCGTTTGCCACAAGTGTTACACATGTAAGGCTTCTCGCCTTTATGCCTCCTCATATGCTTGACCTAAAGAAATAATACACAGTTATAATATAATAATTATGATAGGTAAATTATTATGATCTCTAAACTTACCAGACTACCAGATTCTGGAAAACCTTTACTACAAATTTCACACACATAAGGTTTAATAGCTAGATGGGTTTTCATGTGTCTGGCTAGCACTTTTGGACCTTTCAATTGTTTTCCACATTCCTAAATAAACACAAAAATCATTTATATTTTGCATTTTGTACGTAATATATTATTTAAAGTAATAGCCCGCTTAACGCTGCTTCGTTTAGCGCTCTTTTTTATTGAAGTGAAACTTCTAATTCGTATATTAGTCATATGTATTTAAAACTGTTATTTAAACAAGGGCCAGGGATGTTTTATTTATTGAAGTGAAACTTTCGTATGAAAGAATTATTTATAATACTTGGATATTTTATACTAGAAAATTGTAAATTAAAAATTGTCTGAAAAGGTATAAATATATTGAAAATCGTATGAAATTGTTGCAAATCGCTTTATATCGACTTTCAAAACTTTTTGCAGTTTGCTTATCAGAAGTCATTTTCTGCTTTTTTCTAGACATTTAATTTGCTCGTCAGTAGAGTCTTTTTCTCATTTTCTATCTAAGATATTTAATTTGCTCGACAGTAGAATTCCTTTTCTATCCGTTTTTCAGTTTGCATGTCAGTATATTTCCTTCTGTTTCCACAATGAAAATCGATTCTGGCAATTTGTCTAAAAAACGTTGCAAATCGTTCGAAAAAGTTGCAAATCGTCTAAAACCTTGTAGATAGTTTAAAAATATTGCAAACCATCTGAAAACGTCGCAAATCGACTGAAAACGTTCTAAACCGTTTAAAAATCTTGCAAATCGTCCAAAAATTTTGTAAATCGTCTAAAAATTTTGTAATCGTCTAAAACGTTGTAATTCGTCTAAAAATCTTGTAAATCATCTGAAAGAGTTGTAAATCAATCTTGTAGATCGTTTAAAAACGTTGCAAACCATCTAAAAACATTGTAAATCGTATAAAAATCTTGTAAATAATCTAAAAACCTTGTAAATCGTCTAAAAATCTTGTAAATCGTCTAAAAACGTTGTTATTCATCTAATAATCTTGTAGATCGATTAAAAACGTTGCAAATCATCTGAAAACGTAGCAACCCGTCTAAAAACCTTTTAAATAATCTAAAAACCTAGAAAATCATCTAAAAACCTTGTGAATAGTCTAAAAATCTTGCGAATCATCTAAAAACATTGTAAATCGTATAAAAATCTTGTAAATAATCTAAAAACCCTGTAAATCGTTTAGAAACCTTGTAAATCGTCTAAAAACCTTGCAATTCATCTAAAAATCTTGTAAATCGTCTTAAAATCTTGAAAATCATCTAGAAACGCTGTAAATAGTCTAACAATCTTGTAAATCGTCTACAAATCTTGTAAATCATCTAAAAACGTTGTAAATCGTCTAACAGTCTTGTAAATCGTTTAGAAACCTTGTAAATCGTCTAAAAACCTTGCAATTCATCTAAAAATCTTGTAAATTGTCTAAAAATCTTGAAAATCATCTAGAAACGCTGTAAATAGTCTAAAAATCTTGCGAAACATCTAAAAACATTGTAAATCGTATAAAAATCTTGTAATGATCTAAAAACCTTGTAAATCGTCTAAAAATCTTATAAATCGTCTAAAAACCTTGTAAATCGTCTAAAATCCTTGCAATTTATCTAAAAATCTTGTAAATCGTCTAAAAATCTTGAAAATCATCTAAAAACGCTGTAAATAGTCTAACAATCTTGTAAATTATCTACAAATCTTGCGAATCATCTAAAAACATTGTAAATCGTACAAAAATATTGTAAATAATCTAAAAACCTTGTAAATCGTCTAAAAATCTTATAAATCGTCTAAAAATGTTGTAATTCGTCTAATAATCTTGTAGATCGATTAAAAACGTTGCAAATCAGCTGAAAACGTGGCAAATCGTCTAAAAACCTTTTAAATAGTATAAAAACCTTGTGAATCGTATAAAAATCTTGTAAATGATCTAAAAACGTTGTAAATCGTCTAACAATCTTGTAAATCGTTTAAAAATCCTGCAAATCGTCCAAAAATCTTGTAAATCGTCTAAAAATTTTGTAATCGTCTAAAAATTTTGTAAATCGTCTAAAACGTTGTAATTTGTCTAAAAATCTTGTAAATCATCTGAAAAGATTGTAAATCAATCTTGTAGATCGTTTAAAAACGTTGCAAACCATCTAAAAAACGTTATAAATCGTATAAAAATCTTGTAAATAATCTAGAAACCCTGTAAATAGTCTAACAATCTTGCGAATCATCTAAAAGCGTTGTAAATCGTATAAAAATTTTGTAAATAATATAAAAACCCTGTAAATCGTCTAAAAATCTTGTAAATCATCTAAAAACGTTGTAAATCGTCTAAAAACCTTGAAAATCATCTAAAAACCTTGTGAATCGTCTAAAAATCTTGCGAATCATCTAAAAACATTGCAAATCGTATTAAAATCTTGTAAATAATCTAAAAACCCTGTAAATCGTCTAACAATCTTGTAAATCGTTTAGAAACCTTGCAATTCATCTGAAAATTTTGCAAATCGTCTAAAAATCTTGAAAATCATCTAGAAACGCTGTAAATAGTCTAACAATCTTGTAAATCGTCTAACAATCTTCTCGACCAAACGTTGCAAATCTAAAAACGTTGCAAATCAACTGAAAACTTTGAAAACCGTTTAAAAATATGGTAAATGCCTTTGCTTTTCGAAATATATTCGTATATTATTTTGATTTTAGTATAAAATGTGTGTTCACTTTATTTTCATTAAAAATAAGCAGAGTTATTTAATTTAATATATATCCAATTTTCTATCCTTCTATTTCTATTTTCATAAATAATAGTATTTATAAATTTAAATTAAATTCTTACCTCACAAGTAACAAATTCATTCGTGTTTTTCGATACTGCACTATCACTTTTCCTTGCATCTATTTTATTTTCCATAACAATATTCTCATGTACGACGTTTTCCGACAATGCATTTTCTAAAATAACATTTTCCAAAGTCGTATTGTCCAACGTCACATTTGTATTATCTAATGTCACATTTTCTGCATTTCCAATCGAGACGGCAACCGATTGATCTACACCTGATATATAGTCAATTCCTGGACTCATAATTATTTCTTGCAGGTCTATTAATTTATCATTGGTCATTTGTTCATCGTTCAGAGAATCTGGTGCAAGGGGACTGGGAGCAGAAGATTCGATGAATAATGTTGTGGGGTCTGGTTCGGGTTCGATGTCTTGAATTTGAGGCAACTTTTCGGTGTGTAGAATTAAATTACCACCCATTGTGTCTGTGAGTTCTGTAAGGGAATTAAATATAACCGGAATAATAGAATATTTTATAATAAGACTAGCAAACCCGACGAACTCCGTTTCGCCACCAGATGGTTTCGTGAAAAAGATGTAGAAATTTTTTGTTTGTTTTATATTTGAAAAGGAAAAATTTGATTTTATTGCACAACAGTAATGAATTTATTTCGATTACAAAAATTAACTGTTTTTTAGTTGAACTTCTCTAAGTAAATGAAAGTGATCCGCCAATTATCCGTTTCATTAAAATGCTCTTTGGTAAACCACATTTTTTGTTTTTTGGTCTGACGTTAACACAAACAAAGCGGATGGTTTTCCAACTCGTGAACGGGCAACGTATAACTGCCCATGTGAAAAACAAAGATTTTCTAAATAATCTATTTGAAATTTATCTCGCAAACACTAAGCGCTTGGCCTTGCGATTTGTTATTGCGAACGCAAGGCGAACTGGAAATTGCAATTGTTTGAAGTCAAACGGAAAACCAGTCGGAATTATTGGTATGTCACCAAATCGCCAGCAATTTTTGATTGAATGGTGAAATTCAGTGCATTATTCTTTGCGGCAAGAATTGCTCGTTGACTTAACCAAGGATAATTTTGATACTTCTCACTAATGTCATTACTCGAATTTTTAATTATTGTGCGTGAAATTCCAGCAATTTGCATTAGGGCACGATGCCATGCACCACTAATTTTCTTAGCTATAAACTTTGCAGAGCCCGAGACCTTTCCAACGAATGCAAAATTATCGAAATCGGTTCGTGCGTTCTGGAGTTATTTCGTCAGGAAGGAAAACCCGACTTATTTTTATATATATAGAAGATAATTTTTAAAATTATGACTTGTAACGAGACTTATAGATAGCAAAAATATTAGCATACATGAAAAGCAAAATTATTTTGTATGGGCGGGGCGGGTAAAACTACCCGTCCTGACGTCTGGTGCTGGTATTTATGTCCTTTTGAATGTTACTAATTTTAAATTCAGTTTGCATATGATAAATGAAGAGTTTTTCTTTAGATTCATTTGATTTAGTTTACCGTCATTTATTATAGAATTTAGTATATTTAGTATTTAAAAAATAAGTAATATGTAAAATTTAACACATTTTATTACAATACTTGAAATGACTTTAAATTTTCGTTACGAAAATTATAATTTGTTCGCATTGACAAAATTCACTAGAATTTAGCAAAATTTTTTACTTATATACACTTGGATAACAAAATTTTGCATAATTCGTAGTTCAAATGCGGACTTCATAATTTTTGATACGAATTTTGAGCATTTTTTACTATTCTTCAAATAACTTTTAATTTTTATTTCGGACATAATAGTTTGTTTACATTAGTAAAAACTAGATAAAATTTACTAACATCTAGTGAAAACTGTTGTATACACTTAGATATTGAAATTTTGAATAATTCGTAGTCAAAATGCGGACTTTAGTATTTTGATAATTTCCATTACATGGATTTAGAACATTTTTTAAGTTTCTTCAAATAACTTTAAATTTTCATTTCGGACATTATAATTTGTTTATATTAATAGAAACTAGATTTTCAGTGTATTATGACAAAGCAAATTTCATATTTATAAATTGAGGTTCTTTTAAATACTATGTCGTTGCTTGTAAAATGTATAATAAAAATGGTATAATTAGTTTCTTAGACATTATTTCAGCTAGAAGGTTTACAAAATCACTAGCAAAATGAAATTCAAGCCAAAAAACGCCAATTCTTGATTTAAAGTTTTATGAATTTACAATATATCCAACTACCTATTACGAGTATTATTATATTATATATTATATTTGTTGTTTATTCAAATTTTTGGTGATGTTCAGATATTTTACATTATTTTGCAGTTTTTGATTTATTTACAATATTTTCATATAAGTATTAGCCCTTAGTTTTATATAAATATATGTAGAAACTATTTTAGCAAGTACAACATAATAAATGCCAAGAATTCTACAAATTAAACTCTGAGAAAGTTTTGTAAGTCATTCAATTTATATTACAAGCTTTTGGAGGTAGATTTATTCGGATTGTACCCTATATAAATAAATGCATAAAATGAAGTAAGTAGATACTTTTCCATGAACAATAAAATCTGTTATTTTAATAAATGTAGTATATCAAATCCAATTTTCAATGAAGAATTTCTTTTAATTCTGTTCGAATAACTGTATAAAACAATATACACATATATAATAAAAATTATGTAGCAACATCAATAATTTTAAGAATATAAAAAATTGGCAGTATATATCTTGCGCCTTGCGCATGTTTTGCGTGATAAACATAAAAAGGTTTGAATTTCAGAAATTAAATAAATTTCTGAACAAAACTACAATTTATACCTGTTGGATATTCAACAATAACATTCAGCAGTTCATATTTCAACGGTTCTTCATAAGTTTGTGTCGGTTGATGCAAAAGTACTAATTGTCTCAAAGTAGCATCATTTCTTTCGCAGAGCTCTTTAAAATAGAATGCTCGACTGACTGCGGTTACACATTGAACACAAAGCTGTGCTGGGAGACCATCGCCTTCATTTAACTGAAAAAGAAATATATACATATACATATATATATATATAATCAGAACACTATTTGAAACATTGGTCGAGGAGAATTTGAATTATTTATACTTGAGATAATTGAATTAAATGAGAAGTAATTTAATTATAGGTTAGTTTATAGATTGACTAAGATATATAAGTATATATATATATATATATATATATATATATATTATTTATCATTATTTTTATAAATTTGCAAAAGTTCAAATAGTCTAATAGCGTTTGAACAAGTAAGAAAGGTTAGGTCCATTATAACAAGAGTCTTAAAGCAACTGCAACTTGAAATAGCATTTTGTATATAAATATATATTATTTCTTACCACAATATTAGCACAAGCCATCATCATTTCAGCTAATCGAGCATCAAATAAAGGTTTCATTTGTGTACGTTCATTTAAACAAGCTCTGCAAATTCTTGCAAGTGAAATTATGCTCTCAGCTTCTTCCATTTTATATTTGATTCTCCTTTATTTCAATTATCCAATATACATTATTACCTCGAAACAAATAATTTAGCGCCTTTTAATTCAAATTTCTGATTTCATCTCCGTGTAAATATTGACATCTTCAATAGAACGAGCCTTGTAGAACAACAATGTCACTTTTTTGATAACAAAGTATATATCTGTCAAAAGTGAAGACGGTGGTGTAAATAAATTAATTTAAAATCTGTACATTCCTTATGATTTAGAGAAATATTAAAGAAATAATTATTTTTATTATCAGTGCACAATACGTTAATTTGAAGACTATAATGCAATAGTTAAGCCAAAATCAATATATACAAATACAAAGCAAATGTCAAAATCTTCCACAGAATTACCAATTCGAGCAACATGGCTTCCATTAGTTGAGCGGGAAATTTGAATTTCAAAAAAGTTTAAATTTTAAAAAATATAATAATTGGTTCAAAGTTGTTAGTAACGAAAAGGTATGATTATATATGATAAATATTTAGTTATTTAATGTATGCTATATATTTTTAATTTATAATTTAGCTCATTGTGATTGTATAGAATGTTTTTAGTGTAGCTTAAGCTTTATTAATTAATATCAAAGTATTATTTATCATAATCTTTATTTATGCATTATTATTATTATTATTTTATATTATCTATATTTTTTTTGTTTGGGATAAGAAAATAAATAATGTAAATAAATTTAATATTTAGTACACATTGATTTTTATTCACAAAGCAAATCTAGCAAAATATTGTTTTATAGCAAAAATAATAGTACTATAGTTTAATTTTATTTTTTTATGGATTTATATGATGCATTGTCTGTATTTAAGGATTTTTAACAAATATGATTTATTGTCAAAGTTTTAAAACTATGAATGTTTCACCCTCAAGACATCTATCAAGAACATGTTTTTATTGTTAAATAAGATATAAACAAACATTTATATTAAGATATACGTAATGCTATATACATAAATATGAAAATGAAAAATTATTGAAAAGATAAACAGATTGAACTAACAAAAATACATCTTTATATTATATAATACTAAAAACACTCTTTTTTAAAAAAATATATATATTTATGTTATAAAATAAATATCTAGAATAAATGTACTTTGTGAAGAAATATAAAAATAGAAAAAAACATATTGAAAATATTGAAAATAAAGAAATAAAAAATATTTAACTGCAGACTAATATAAAAAGACCACTCGAGCTCAGACATTTTAGAGAAAAAATAAAAATGTATAAAGTTTAAAATTTTAAAATTATAAATTGTTTTTACTTTAACAAAATAAATTATAACTAGTGAAGTGTATGGCATCGTGCCTTAAGGCAAATTGCTGGAACTTCGCGTACCGTAACGAAATGTTCGAGGAATACTGAATGTTTTCAAATAGATTATTATTAATATTGTAACATTGTCTAATATTTATAAGAATTATATAAACTGAATTGCATAGTTGAAATTTTTTGTTCAAAGTATATTAGAACTATAGTCAGAATTAAAAATAAAATTTGAATTACTTTCGATATAAAAAAAATTAAAAAAAAAAAAATTGGAACAAAATTTCTTTTTCCTTTTTAGGCTCCGTATCTTTGAAATGAATGGGCCTGCTTTTGCCAAAAACTAATAAACCCTTCTCCCAATCATTATTAATTGAATGTTATTTAGTTCCTTCAAATCGGATACACCGTTCTCTCAAAAACTCGATTTCTATTTTCTGCAATCTTTGCTCCGTGTCTCCGAAACGGCTGGACCTGCCCTTGCCAAAAACTAATCCGCACATCTCTCTATCAATAGGAATCGAATGTTTTTTGAATCATTCAAATCGGTTGATCCGTGCGCCCGAAAACGTGACTGGAAATTTGTATCCATACATACATAAACACACACACATACATCCATTTTTTCTGAGGTATGCCAAAATGTTCAGAAACCTTCAAAACGTCGAGAAATGTAAAAATTTTCAATTTCGATTTTTGGCCCATTACAATAACTTACCCTACGGGAAGTTATTAATTCTTGTATTTAACGATCTTTAGTTCGACAACTTGGCCATTGTATAATTTTTAGAACAATGAAGATTCTTATACAAATTTATAAACATCCTTAGGTAACTATACACATACCCACACACACACACACACATATATATTGTGTACTGTTTATAGTGTACTTTTGTGTATAGTTGCATATGGATGTTTATAAATTTGTTCAGGAATCCTCATTGTTCTAAAAACCGTTCAACGAATAATGTTTATCTAATTGTAAAAGGCAATGTGCTAATTGCCATGAAACAGCATTGAGACTTACAATTAGTCCAAAGTTTCTATTTGCATGAGAATCAGTGGAAAACACTTTATTAAAATACAGACTAACCCAAATTTTTTAACATTTCACTAATTGTTTTAATTTTATATTATTTTTTTTTAATTGTGTATATCAATTATTTATCAATGTGCAGTTGTAACTGATTCGTTCATCATAATACGTAAGTTTCATGGTTAATAAGTTAATATTTTTTACACTTAATATTTATAAATAGTCCCTTAGGCCTTTTTCTTCCATCATAAACTCATAAGTTTAATTTATTTTAAAAACTTGCACTTATTATAATATTGCATTTTTATACATTTCAAATCTTGTATTGAAAACATGTAGAAATATTTGTTTCTTAGCAGTAAAAGTATATTTCTAGAATTGGTTTAAATATTATTTGTTTGCCCAAATTTTTTTATTGCCCACAAGAACAGAAAATAATCTAATTGAATATTGAATTTGATTAAGATGATTAATTTTGATTTGATTAAGATTGAATATATACAATATATATATATATATATATATATATATATAATATATATATATATATACACCTAAGTCTGTTTTTACACGGTCTTTTTGTACACGGTTTTGATATAACACGGTTTGAAAATTGAATATTTTTAATTTTTTTACACGATTTTATTCCATTTAGCACGATTTGAAATTTTATGTACTTAAATTTTTTTTGTCAAATTTAATTTTTGCGAAGTATGTTCATATCACAAAAAAGTATTTATGAAAGAAAAAAGTCTGAAACCATCGATAGTATCGAAAGTTTGCGAACACTAGCTTAAAGATTTAAGTGAATTCCCCTTTAGCGCGTACAAACAATTTTTACGGGTCAAAGCAAATGTGAATAGCACTAATTTAATTCTTGTTCTTAAAAATTCTTGTTTTCCACTAATTTTAATAGGTTTTAGAGAGTAGGACAAATCACCCATTTTTGTATAAGATCAATGTCTTTTTTACACGGTTTTTTTTTTACACGGCTTCTTCTGGAACCAATCTCCGTGTAAAAACAGACTTAGGTGTATATATATATATTGCTATTGTTATGGGTTTTCCACAAGTGTCATCAATGATACATCAATACAGCTCTTGGTCAAAACATATCGTTTTGTGACTATAACTTAATTAAGACAAAACTCAATACATATTATAAAAATATGTCACGTTTATTAGCATAAAAATAAAAATATATTGTTTTGTATATATGTATGTGTAAGAATATTTGCAAACACGAGATACACCTCATACAAGGATGTTTTAATTTTCTATTTCGATTCTTTGCGTGGAATTAGTTCACGATTTGTTAGTCATGTTCGGTATTTTTTAGAGAATTGTGAAATATCGGTTAGTTGCTTGTTAAAATGATATAAAATATTTTTATAAATCAGAAAATATTATTTAGTGTTAGAATTTAAATTTAGTGCAACATGAGTTATTTAAAGCAATAATTAAAATTAGTTGAAATATAGATTAAAATTAAAATAAAAAGTGGGAAAATAAATTAGTGATTCAATTTCTTCTAATTTATTTCATTACTTACACCATATTAGTTTTCATATGTACTTTTACACCAGAAGTAAATAGAACATAAAAAATATTTTTATCTTATTTTTATATTCAAATAATTGAGAGATATAACAATATAATATCATTAATATCATTAAACCTCTTTAGAATTTTTTTTAATAAAAATATTTTCATATCTATTAAATTTTAAATAATTTTTAGTTTTTTTTGTTCTAATTCCCCAAAAAAAAATATAATTTTCTGAAGAAAAAATATTTTATAAATTGTATTAAAAGATTCAAATCAATTATATCCATTACCTAAACGATCAATAATATGAAGGTTCTTGAAGTCAACCTTAATTGTTTTAATTGGATTTTATAAATTCCAATTTATTTTAAAAGTTAAGTTAACGACTTTATGAGCATGTGTTATTTAAAAATATAGTTAAAATTATTTAAAATATAGTTTTAATTTAAAATTAAAATAAAATAAAACTAATTTGGTAACATTGAAAAGCTTGTAATATTAGTTTAATTTTGATAGTGATAATCTCAACTAAATATTGAGATATTGAATTGAGTTTTTTCAAACAGTAACTAAATTCTTGCATACTAAAAGATTCTTAAAAACAAAAAATATTCAGCAAAAATTAGGAAAGAATACTAAAATTTACTTTTTTAATAAATTTTATAACACAGTTTATTTACAGAATTACAACTCAGTTATTTGTTATATTTAATTTTCGTTTAATTTTTTATATTGAATTCTTCCTTATAATCATAAATGTGATATTTTATATAATTCTTTTTCATAAATGTGATTTGTCATAATAAATCGTGTGGTTTTCGCGTTTTTTAAAACAGCCATTAAAAAAATTGTAAGAAAGTCTCGAAACGTTTGGAAAACTTAAAAAAATAACAGTTTTTGTTTTAATAACTGTTATAATTGATAATTGATTAGTTAAATAATTGACCTTTTGTTTTTATTCATATGTTAACTGAAATAATTTGCAGCCAATTTGTACAATTAAAAGAGCAGCTAGAATTTTAATTCATTTTTTCCTATACAATTCGACACTTAGTGTGTGATATCATTCAGTAAAATCCAAGTAAAAACCTAAACTTTGAAACACTATTATTTGAAAAATAATTAATTAACAAAAATAGAAACATCTATTTTATAAGGAAAACTGACACAGAAAATATCTTGTAAATTTGACAAAACAAAAATGCTTTATTTGTTAATAGCAAAATTGAACTTAAATTTTGGTTTGGTTTTGTCCTGGCTTAATTTACTGAATGATGACACACA